CAGCCCAAATGTCCATCATCGGATGAGTGGATACGGAAAATGTGGTATATCTACACAATGGAATATTACTCAGCTATAAAAACGAATGAAATACTGCCATTTGCAACAACATGGATGGACCTAGAGAGAATTATATTAAGTGAAACAAGTCTGGCACAGAAAGAGAAATACCACATGTTTTCACTTATTGGTGGAAGCTAAAAATAAATAAATAAATTCACACACACACACACACACACAAAAACCGGGGGGGGGGGGGAAGAAGACTTAAAAACTACAACCCCTTGAAGTTATTTCTTCAGAATATATTTTTAAGATGTGGAATCGCTGTGTCAGACGATGCACACATTAAAATTTGCGTACCTGCATTCAAATTGCTCTCTGGAGAGATTTGCAATCCCATCAATTTGGACTTTCATCAACAGTACCTTAGAGGGCCCCTTTCCTTACAACAGCACTGATGTAGTCTTTTTAATTTTTGTTAGAACGACGGTCTTGTAGGCAAACAACAACATCAATAAAAGTCACTGTTTTTAAAATTTATATTTGTTTGATTACTTCAGATTGAACATCTTTTCAGTATCTATTGAACATCTTACTTTATTTATGGGCATTAACCTTTTTAAAGCTTTTGACAAATTTTGTCAACATTTTTTCCAAAAGGTTTATTCCTATTTACAATCATCTTTTCATAGGTGAGTAAGAAGTTTAGGTGCCATTTGAACTACTTCTCACCAGCATTGATTATTATAATTTGTAATATCTTTGCTAATTTGATAGGCAAATAAATTTTCTAACTACTTTTATTTGTACTTCTTTGTTCACTAATGAATGGTTGAAAAGTGAAAAAAAAAAAATTTCCATGCATTGTTTGACCAGACCGTGTCCTGTGTCCATTTAAGAAATTACAGCCTTAGTTTTTTTCATACACACACACACAACATATATACACACACATACATACATAGAGAAAGGAATCAGTGTTTAACAACCAGAGCTGTTCAAAGATTAAATGGACTATGATGACAGGTAGTGAGTCTCCCATCACTGTAGAGTTTTAAGCAGAAGTAGAGATGTAAGAGGAGATTAATGTATATTTTCAAGTGAGGGGTATTCCAAATAAGTCTTAAAGTCCCTCTTAAACCAGAGAATCTACAATTTTGGAAAACTGAAACCTAGGCGATTTTAAATTCCCCAGTCTATATAATAAGTAGTGGTAGAACCAGAAACTGAACTCTAGTCTCTTGACTCCTAGGCCAGGGTCCTTTTCAATATTCCATGTTGCTGCTGCTGCTGCTCCAAAATTCCTTTGTAGCTTATTATCTCTGTCCCACTGTTTGGAGCTGATGATCCTCACTCTAGCCAATGTGATTAAAGAGTCCCATGTTTTCCTTGCAGGTTCATCCCACCCAGGCTTGGTGGCCAAACCCTTTGAGAAAGTAATATACCACTGGACAGTCCCCCCACACGCTGGTCCCACTGCTCAGGATCCTGCCTGTGTCACCTGGATGTACTTTTCTGCTGTGGATCCCATAAGAGATACAAATTCTGGCCTGGTGGGCCCCCTCCTGGTGTGCAAGGCTGGTGCCTTGGATGCAGATGGCAAGCAGGTATGAACAGTGTGTCTGGCTGGGAAGCCTGCTGGGGGCAGGATGAAGCTGAGTTGCTGAACAGGAGTTAAGCACGGAACTGGGTTCTAGAGGTAAGGGAATAAGAAAAAATATATCCAAGCTGTTGCATCAGAAATTAATAGTTGGTGACCTCATGCGATCTTGCATGTTATTTTTCTACTCACACATGTCTTTCTAAACCTCTGTTCCTTTCTAACTCATATTTTCCCATCATCATTTCTTCCTTGTTTTACCTTTTTTGTTCTCTCACCTCAGTGGCCCCTAACCCTTGTTCCTAACCCCTAAATTTGCTTTAATATTTGCCTCTCCTCTTTCATACCCAACCCACCATTTCCATCTGTGTTATATTGGGCAAGTTACTTAACCTCTTTGACTCAGTTTCCTCATCTGTAAAAAAGGGTTAACAATGAAAGAAGGTACCATGGGTTTCTGTGAGGATTAATTAAAATAATCCATATCAAGTGCTTAGCACAGTGTCTGGCACATAGTAAGCACATAGTATATGTTAGCTGGAACAACAATAATAATAATAGTGATAATAATAATAATTATTATTATTATTTTCTCATTTCTTGCTGTAGCCTTCCCCTGCTGTTCTAGCCACCTTCCCCTACTTCTCTCCTCAGGTAACTTCAAGATCTTTCCTATCATGTTCTGTACCTCTTCTTCCTGATCATCCTATGGTTCTTACCTGGCCCCTTTAATACATTTCTCCTCTTCAGTCTTCCCTCTTTATTCTGATTTCCTTCTGCCATCTTCAACTTGTGGTTACCTAAGGAAAAACTGCCTACCAACAACTTGCTGCTCTGGGCAGGAGGTATGAGATTGCCACTAAGTCTGGGAAAGGCAATGGCAAAGAATCAGGGGTCCTTGGATCTGCAGCTACACAGTCCACAACTGCTGAAACTGTTGTCATTCCTCCCTCTGCTTTCTTCCACTGGACCTGCAGAAAGGGGTGGATAAAGAATTCTTTCTCCTCTTCACTGTGTTGGATGAGAACAAGAGCTGGTACAGCAGTGCCAATCAAGCAGCTGCTATGTTGGATTCCCGACTGCTCTCAGAGGATGTCAAGGGCTTCCAAGACTCCAACCGAATGCATGGTATGGGGAGTACTTTGGCCCTGGGCTGCAACTGAGGAGTTCAAAGTAAAATCTAACCCTAACTAAAATCATGACCAATCCCTGAAAACACTGACCCCATTGGTCAGCTCTGTCCCAGCTATGAGCTAGATTGAGGGATTCAACCTAAGACAACAGATCATATACTTAGCACCTTCTTGTGTTGTGTCCTGTGTTTCATGGTATGGAGGGCACTGGAAGAAAGTATTATGAGATGAGGATTGTGCCCATGAAATCCACTCGAGAGTGTGAAGAATAAGCTGGGGTGATGCCTTTCCAGTCTTATCTCCCTCTCTTTTATCTCCCACTACCTTGCTTGCTCACCCCGTATTCTAGACAAGTGGGGCTGTTTTTCTCTCTATGAACATACTTTGTGCTTTGTTGATTTCTTGCTTTTGCATGCTGTGCCCTCCACTTGAAATGCTTCTTCTTACATCTCTTCCTTCAGCCTGTGGAAATGCTGCCCATTGTCCAAGGCCCTACTCAGAAGCTACTTCCTTCATGTAACCATTTCTTATCACCGAAGCACACAGGGATAATACCCTTTTCTGAAACACTATTGCATTTTATTCAATCAAACCATTTTTTAAAAAAATTAAACAAGAAATTTAATAAGAGAAATATAACTGAACACAATCCAAAATATTCATACATAAAAATTAAACACGCATTTCTTTCTTTTTTTATAACATTTTTTTCCTTTAAATTTTTATTTTGTCAATATACAATGTGGTTGATTATTAATAGCAAGTTCTGTACACTCCTCAAAATTGCAGTTATTTGTTATGTGGCTTTTGACTTCTGCTAAAGTACAATCGCTTTAAAAGTGAGTATTATATGTCGCATATCTCTTTATCCTCTATACTCACACGTAGTAAATGTTGATTGAATTAGAGAACTACCAAGTGAATGGGTAGGAGGGTAGGTGGGTGGGTGAGTCAATGAATGGCAAGACATGGTCACAGTTTGCAAGGAGCTCCCAGCAATTTTCAGTGAGATGAGACTAGTAACACCAATGAAACAATTATGGAACAGTCCAAAACAGACTATAATTAAGTGCTAAGTGTGTGGAACCACTTTTGAGAGACATAAGAGTTCAAAGGAGGAGAACATTAATGAAATTAAAAGATTTCTGGAACAAGGGAGTGCTTGCGCTGAGGTTTAAAGACTGAATAGGTTTGCAACTAGTACATTATAGGCAGGGGAAGCAGAATCACGGGATTAGCAATATTTCTATCAGCATTCCAGGGGATTATCAAATGGGATGGCTCATTAAAGCTGATTCTGGCAGAAGTGGGGGCATGGAAAAGATGTCACCTTCAAGCAGGTCTTCCTGTACTTTGCTGGAGGGAGGAACAGTGTGGAATATGGGAGGTAGACAAGAAGGAGTGTGTTGTCTTTGGTTCCCATCACCAGTTAGTTCCATCATCCAGAAAAAGTATGTCTTGTGAGCCAAGTTCATTCCAATTTCAATTTACTGACCACCTAATTGGTACTAGCAATGCACCAGTTGTTAAGGCAGTTACATAGATATGGGAAAAAACGATATGCTTCCTGCCAGGTCAATCTAGTGCAGGAGATAGATTTGTAAGTAAATCATTGGACTTTGTGGTAAGTGATATTGCAGAATTTTGCAGGATAAAAGTTCCATGTATATCAGGCAGAGCAATAACTGCTTCACAAATGAGGTAATATTTGAGCTGAAGCATGATAAATGAGCAGTAGATTGCCATAGAAAGATCAGAAGGAAAGTTTATTCAAGGCAGAGGAAACAGTATGTGAAAAGTCAGCAGGTGTTTTCTAAGCACCTACTATGTTTAAAGCCTTGGGGATGCAGAGACAAATGGAGCTCACAGGCTAATAGTGTGTGTGAGAGAGGGTAGGAGAACAGACTGCAGGTAGGGGGTACCAGGGAGGAGGCTATTGCAGGAGTTCAGGCCAGAAAGGATGAGCGCCAGAAGCAGGGAAGCAGCAGTGACGATGAAGAGGGGACAGATTGAATTCTAAGGATGTAGCCCTGGGGAACCCCAACACTTTATAAAGGGGTGGAGAATGAAAATAAGATGGAGAAGGAACAATCAGAGATGAGAGAGAACTGGGGAGTGTGGTGCCAGGGATAAGAGTTTCAAGATAGTGAGAATAGGACAGGTTTGTACTTGTGTGTGTGCGTGTGTGTGTGTGTGTGTGTGTGTGTGTGTGTGTGTAGGAGTTATAATCGTGGAGAGTAGTTCAGTGTTGCAAGAATGTGGACCATGGTGGAGGAGGAGCAGGAGGTGAGGCCAGAAAGGCCAGTTGGGTCCTCACCACAAAGACAGGGATCTTCATGAGTAAAATGAAAATGGCTTAGAGAAGAAGGCAGAGGAATTGAGGATGACTCATTTCGAGTTGTGGGAAACCATAACACAAAGCTGATTTCATGCTGCTGGCCAGTGCCTGAATAGTCTGGTCTCATCTCCCCATCTTGTCTTGTGTTTTTGTTTTCCAGCCATTAATGGGTTTCTGTTCTCTAACCTGCCCAGGCTGGACATGTGCAAGGGTGACACGGTGGTCTGGCACCTGCTTGGCCTGGGCACAGAGACAGACGTGCATGGAGTCATGTTCCAGGGCAACACTGTGCAGCTTCAGGGTATGAGGAAGGGTGCAGCTATGCTCTTTCCTCACACCTTTGTTACAGCCATCATGCAGCCTGACAACCCTGGTAAGTGCCTTGGCAGCTAGCCCTAGACTCAGAGTCTTTGTTTGGTATGGGGTTGGGGCTGAGGTTGGGGTGGGGAGGAGGGAGGGCTGGTGAAGAGAAAAGAAAAGGTGTGCTGAGGATGCTGGGGAAGGTTTCAAAACACTTTGGTCTTCTCTCTCTTCATTATGCTCTCCATGTCCTAGTTTTTTTGATTCTCTACTCTATTGCAAACAGAATAGACTGAGTAGAAGTGTGAGGAAGCTCTTTTCTGGAACAACAGAAGAGAAGTCAAGATGTTGCCCAGCTTCGGGGCAGCTCTTATATGGCAGAGGGTGGACTTGGCCACATAGGGATTTTATAGATACAGTCTTTGCATTGGAAAGGAGGTTGATGAGATGTACATATAAACACTTTCAACTCTGATATTCTGTGAAGATTTCTGCAAACTCTCCCACTTCTGTTGTGTGTGTGTGTGTGTGTGTGTGTGTGTGTGTGTGTGTGTGTGTGTGTGTGTGTGTGTTGCTATAACAGATTCAGACCAGGATTCAGAACAAAGGAGCTCTAGGCCAGGCTCTTTCTTAACTTGCTATGTAACTTTGGTCTTATCACTTTCCCTCTCTGTAGCTGTGTTCCTTCTTTCCTTCCTTCCTTCCTCCCTTCCTTCCTTCCTTCCTCCCTCCCTCCCTCCCTTCCTTCCTTCCTTCCTTCCTTCCTTCCTTCCTTCCTTCCTTCCTTCCTTCCTTCCTTCCTTCCTTCCTTCCTTCCTTCCTTCCTTCCTTCCTTCCTTCCTTCCTTCCTTCCTTCTTCCCTTCCTTTCTCCCTTCCTTCCTCCCTCCATCCTTCTCTCTCTCTCTCTCTGCTCACACTTATAAGTGAGAACATGCAGCATTTTTCTTTCTATGCCTGGCTTGTTTCACTTAACATAATTTTCTCCAAACTCAACCACGTAGCTGCAAATGGAAGAATTTCATTCTTTTTTATGGCTGAGTAGTATTACACTGTGTATGTATACCACATTTTCCATAACCAGTTGTCCATTAATGGACATTTAGGTAGGTTTCATATCTTGGCTGTTGTAAATAGAGCCATGATAAACATGAGATTGCAAGTATCCCTTCTGCATGATGATTTCCATTCCTTTGGGTATACACCCAACAGCAGGATGCTGGATCCTATGGCAGTTTTATCTGTAGTTGTTTGAGGAACCTCTATACTGTTTTCCATAATGTCTGCACTAATTTACAGTCTAACCAACAGTGTATAAGGGTTTCCCTTTCTCTGCATCCTTGCCAGTATTTCTTATTTTCTGTCTTTTTGATAGTAGCCAGTCTAACTGGGGTGAGATAAGACCTCAAAAGCACAAGCAACAAAAGAAAAATAAACAAATGGAATTATATCAAACTAAAAATCTTCTACACAGCAAAGGAAACAATCAAAGGAGTGATAGACAACCTACAGGATGGGAGAAAACATTTGCAAACAATACATCTGACAAAGGATTAATATCCCGAACATACAAGGATCTCAAACAAGTTAACACTAAAAAACACAAATAGTCCAATTAAAAATGGGCAAAGAGAAACAGACATTTCTCAAAAAAAGACATACGAATGGCCAACAAGTATATGAAAAAATGCTCAACATCACTAATCATCAGGGACATGCAAGTTGATTCCATCTATTTCTAACATTTCATGTTATAGCAGTATTTTTTTCTTCACAGTCCTTAGGGCGTATTATTTTTCCATCCAGTAAGTGTCAATAGTGTTTCTAAGAAAAACTTGTCAGTTCCACACAGTTCCTGACAAACTTTTATTTCTGTTCTGTCAATTCTATTCATATTTAGGAAAACAATCCTTAAACAAAACAAGTCTCTTCAACAATTTAATAATTTCAGCCTGGCACTGGGTTTGACAAACACTTGACATAAAGTTGGTCTCTAATCTACCTGAGATACTTTCTTGATCAGGGAGAGTTGTTGGCAAATCAGAAATATCAGTTAATGGAGCTGAAAGAAACAGGAGGAACAAGTGCTAGCACTGAGACAGGAGTGGGGAACTTCTGAATAAGACCCTACTCTCCAGTCCTAACCCCAAAGCCAAATCCTAGGTTTAATTTTGTTCTGGCAAAACCAGCCAGGCTCCTGAGCCAATTGTATATGTCTCCCCATACCTCACTCCTACTTTGGATGTATGAAATTATTTTTGTGCCATACCGAGGCCCAAAGAGGATGGCCATATATGACTTTAAAAAATTCCGATGGGAGCTCTGGAAAGAGAGGAGGATAATGACGTTACAAGAATAAAGTCTTGAAAAACTACTCTGGGTCAAGATTTTTGTTTTCTTAGTAGCAAAAGCACAAACCTTTTTGTTTTACACTTGTATTTCCAGACCTTTTAAACTCTTTCCTCTTTCCGAAGAGATCCTGAATAATAGAATATTGTAACTGATAGATTCCCTTTGGGATAATCTCATTTCACTTATTTTCATTCTCATTCCCTTCCCTTTTTTCTTTCTGTTCCTTTACTATATCTTCTTTTCTTTTCTTTATTTCTTATTGTTTACCTTTTTTCTTCTATTTTCCATTCCTTTGTTCTGTATCTTTCCCCCTCTCTTATTGTATTCCTCTGTTCTCTTCTTCTTTTTTCCCTTGCTTCTTTTTATTTTCTCTCTCTTTTTCTATCTTTTAATTGGTTATGAATATTCATAAGATACAAGGCTGATTGTCCCCTCTTGTGCCCTAGAAGGAAATCTTTTTCTATCGCACTTTCCCCAAACATAGTAAAGATTTATTGTCTTTCACATGTTGGTTTAGGTTCTGGAGATGTGAATATAAATGAGGCAGGTCACTGTTAATGCGAAAGGGCAATATGAATGTAAACAGTATTCACAAGTCTATGATGATGCTATCTGCTAAGAGCTGTGGTAACATACAGGGAGCTGTGACAAATTCTGTCCGACTTGTGGAGTAAAGCTTTGCTAGAATAGCAGACATTCAGACTAAGCTTTTAAAATGAGTAAACTGTCATCAGGCAAAGAAATGGGGTGGGTGGTAAAGAGGGCATAAAAAGCAGTAGGAACCATATGGCCAGTGGCTTGGAAGCAGCATTTACCTAGAGAAGATTGAATAGAATGATTTGAGTTCTCAACTTGAGGTGTTTGGAAATGTGGAGGTACTTTTTAAAAAATTTATTTTTTTATAGTACTTTTTTATTGGTTATGAATATTCATGAGATACAAAGCTGATTGTCACCACTTATGCCCAAGATGTAATGGCCAGATTCATACTGGCAGCATGCCCATTACTACAAATTGTGATTATACCCCCTATCCTCTACCCAATTATCCCCGACCTCCCTCCCCATTCCCCTTTTCACCACTCCGCTTTGTATCCGTAGATAAGCTCTCTCCCTCTGCAAGTTCATCACAGCTCTGTTTAAAATAGCCAAGATATGGAACCAACCTAAATGTCCATTGATGGACAATTGGATAAGGAAAATGTGGTATATATACATCATGGAAAACTACTCTGCCATAAAATGAATGAAATTCTCCCTTTTGCAGCAGCTCAGAGAAACTTATGTTGAGTGAAATAATCAAAGCACAGAGGGATAAATACTGCATGTACTCACTCATAAGTGGGAGCTAAGAGAGAAAGTAAGATGGAGGTACTTTTAGTTGTCACAATGACTGGGGTGTGGAAGCGATGATACTGGCATTTAGAGGGTGGGAATCAAGGATGCTAAAACATTCTGCAATACGTAGGACAGTCCTAAACAATGAAGAATAATACCATCCGAAATGCTAATAGCACTCCTGCTGAGGAACACCAACATGTAGGGCATAAGAGAGATAAGAAATAGCTAAAGACCCAGTTAGAAAAAGAGGAAGGTCCTTCCTAAGAAGTTAGGACTTTATCTTCCAGGTTATGAGAAAACATCAAAAGTTTTGTTTCCTTTATTAAGATGATGAGAGACAGGATGTGATTTTCACTGTTGTAGGTTTACAACAGAGTAGTATGGATAACGGCTTTGAGTCAGAAGGAACCAGAACGAGGGAGGCACAACAGAAGGCTCTTGAAAGAAATGATAAGGACCTGAAAATGGGTGGGTGCAGTGGGGATGGAGGGCTTACAGGATATTGGGAAAGAAATGACAAGAGGTTGCTGAGGGTATGAGCAAGAAGAAAGGACTCCTGAGTTTTCCAGCTTGTGCAGTAGGTGGATAGCAGTGTCAGTAACCAAATGAGCAAACACAGAAGGAGGGGCAGGGTGATAAGGTTTGGGTAATAAAGTATTCATTTGGGGCCACATTAAGTTTTAAGTTCCTGGTGAAATCTAAGTGGCAGGGATTTCATAGTAGGTGATTGTGGGTAGAAATCCAAAGTTTGGAAGAGAAATCCAGGCTAGAGAGAGAAACTTGGCTATTCTCATAGTTAAAGTCCATAAGCATGTAGAGTGATAGGAAATAAAATTTAAGGCAAGAATCAACATTAAAGAGATAGGAGGTAGAAGAGAAGCTAGAATGAAAAGAAAGCAAAAGATTATTCAAAGAGGTAGGAGGAGACTTAGAAGCCAAAGGTATTAGAGTGTTGAAAAAGAAGTGGCTTGGACATGTGTCTATATGAGAAAATTCAGATAATGTGTCTAGCCCAAGGTCACATGACTCTCTCAGAATGTCTTCTACCTGTTCCCATCCCCTCAAGTGATCATCAAACATTTTTCTCCACACCAGAGATCCTGACTCTTAACTTTTTAACAGTGTATACAATTACCCCTTTGCACACTCATTCATTCACTGAACACATTTATTGCATAACTTCTGTGTGCTAAGACTAGGGTAAAGAGGTAAACAAGACAAACATGATTTCTGTTCTCAAGGGATATCCTAAATAAACACAAAAATAAAATAAGAAAATTTTAGATAGTGATGCATGTCATGAAGGAAATCAAATACAGTGATGTCATAAAATGATGGGGATATTACTTCAGAGAGGATGTTCAAAGAAGGCCTCTTTGAGAATGTGATATTTATGCCAAGATGTAAATAATTAGGAGGAGGAAGGTATATGAAGATTTCTGAACAGAATATTTTAAGCAGAGAGACCAGCAAGTGCAAATGCCCAAAGGTGAGAACAGGTATGGCTTATTCAAGGGTCATAAAGAAAGTCAGTATGGTTGGGGTGTAGTGATCTAGAGGAAGACTGACATGACATTAGTTCATAGAGGATGGTAAAGGTCATATTATGTAGGACCAATAGACTATAGTCAGGAGCATGGATTTTATTCTGAGTATGAGTGGAGTATTTGAAGCAAGTGGGCAATGTGTTCTAGATTATATTTGTTAAAGAACACCCTAGGTTCTGTGTGGAAAATGGTTAGAGAGGGTAGAAGAAACAGCAGCGAGGACAGTTGGGAAGCTACTGCAATTTTCCAGGAAAGAGACAATGGTGGCTTGAACTAAGGAAGTGGCAGTGGAAATGAAAGGATAATTGTGAAGGAAGAGCCGGTAGGATTTGTTAATGGGATAGTTGTGGGGGTAAGGGAAATAGAAGAGTTGGGAAGTAGGTACGAAAAAAAGAGTGGACCCCTTCTTTACCAGAAGGGACATTTTTAAAGAGAGGAGCACTAAGTCCTTAACCATGTGGTTTAGATATAAAGTTCATTGGGAGTGAGTGGCCAAAAATGTAGAGGCCAATTTAGGCCAGAGTAGTCAGGTATGGTTTTCTGGAAGTGATGAACTATGAACTGGGTCTTGAAAAATGAGGTGGCTCTCAAAGATATTTGGGGGGTGGGGTGGGCAGGTACATTCCAGAAAGGTGGTAACAACATGAATGAAACTTCCAAGGAGGAATGAGATATGTGAGAGGGGAAGTCAGAGATAGATTTATTTGGGGCACCAGTTGAGTTTGGGGCTAGCTCACAGAAGGCTGTGAAAGCCAGGAAGAAGAGTTTGTAGTGATGGGATAGGCAATGGGCAGCAAAGAAAAGGAACAATGAGAGTAATGTTCTGAGAACGTTAGCTTCTCTTGATCAACATTCTCTGAGCCTGAGTGTCCTTGACATAGAAACCTGGAGCTTGAGATCAGGTCCAGGCAGCTCCACAACACAGACTTTCGAGATTGATATCTGAACATTAAATTGTAAAAATCTAGGAAGGGCCCTTCCAAAGCTCTCTTATATCAGCATCCTTGTGATCAAGAAGGTTTTGTTGTTGTTGTTTGTTTTTAATCTATTTAAGCCCACCTTTATTTCTTTGGTACTTGGTTAAAAAGGGAGACAACTGAGACAATTGGTCAATGCCTTTCTTGTAATAGTAATTATTACAGCATTATTTACTTCTTTATAGGTTTACTTATAAAACGTTTACTATATACTGTGCTAAGCACTGTATACACATTGTTGGGTTTAATTCTACAACAGCCAAATGAAGTAAGTAAAATGATTCTCATTTTACTGATGAGGGAACTGAAACATACAGAGGTGTATTGCCAGAAGGCTGTATAGCTAATAAGTGACACATAGGGTTACCAATAATCCCATTTTGTCCAGAACTGAAGGATTTTCAGAGATATGGGACTTTCAGTGCTAAAACTAGGAACACCTTGGGCAAACAGGGAGGAGTTAGTCATTCTAGTGACAGAGTTTTGTTTCAAACCCGGATAGTGGAACTCTTAATCTCTGTGCTCATTATTCCCAATAAACTTGTAATACTCTTTTCTCTAATGCATAGAAGAGCTTTATCTGAGACTGCCCACTCTCTTCAGTATGCCTAGGAGGAGGCAGGAAATCCCCCATGTACTACCCAGGGGTATTCTGAGTCAGGTTTTGCTCTCCAATCTTCTCTCAGGGACATTTGAGATTTACTGCCAGGCGGGCAGCCATCGAGAAGCAGGGATGAAGGCAATATATAATGTCTCCCAGTGTCCCAGCCACCAAGCCACCCCTCGCCAGCGCTACCAAGGTGCAAGAATCTACTACATCATGGCAGAAGAGGTGGAGTGGGACTATTGCCCTGACAGGGACTGGGAACTGGAATGGCACAACCAGTCTGAGAAGGACAGGTAAGATTTCAGAAAAGGAGAGATTACACTTTCAGAGGGTTATTGTACAGATGAAGACAATGAAACTCTAAGATGAAGAGGCAATTGTCTAGGGTCACATAATATGCTACCAACAAATCTGGGAAAGTAGAATGCAGGTCTTCTGAATTCCAGCTCAGTGCTCCTTCTATATTTATATACTGTGGGGCTGAAGTAAAAGACTTTGCCCACACCCTCATCCACTTAATCTTTGCCTCCCTTCCTCTGGTTAGCTGGAAGTACCTATCCTGGGGCTTAAATTTCATAGAGATTTACTCAAGGGATTGAATGCTTGCTTGGCTGTTCCTTGACACAATGACATTGTGTTCATTGAGATACAGAAAAAGTTCAAAACAGAGTGGTTTAAATAAGATAGAATTTTATTTCTTGTTCACATAATAGTATAGATATGAGCAGTTCAGGGTTAGCCAACAGTTGCTTTCATCTGGGACTAATATGCCCATTCCAGTTGTTGCCATTCCCAGCTATCAAGAAGGGAGAAAGAAGTCAAGGGTCAGAAGCATTTTCTGTAAAAGATGACCTGGAAGTTGTATACATCACTTTCTCTCATACCGCATTGTCCTGAACTTATTCATGTAGCCATAATTAACTGCAAGAAAGTCTGGGAAATGTACTCTCTGGTGAGACAGCAATGTGCTCAGCTGAAACCTAGGTGGTTCTATTACTAAAAAGGAAAGATAAGAGAATGGAAACTGAGGTGCAGATTAGCAGTCTCCACTAAGTTGTTTTCGGTGCTGTCACCACCCTTTTGCCAATTCTTGCCATTTATGTTGGTTGTTGAGGATTGAAGTCTTCTTGCTAACTTGCTCTGGAAATTAATAAAAGCGACTTCTCTTCTTTGAGTCTTGGTTTACTCATCTTTAAAGTGATCAGGTATAGCTGAAGGAAATGGACTAGGGAAGGAAGGAGGAAAGAAGCAGCAGGCTTGAATCTAAGTCCTGGCTCCCATTCTGGCTGACAGTTTCACTGTTGATAAGTTCTGTTGCCTCTGGGTCACTGATTGCACCTCTGGGACCTACCTACATCATAGGTCTATTGGGAATATCGGATGACAAAATGAATAATAAAGCTCTTTGTAAACTGGAAAGCATCCCAAAATATTTGTAAGATTCTATTTCCTCCCTACCTTTCCTTACCCTTTACCCTCTGGAAGCAGCAGCAGCAGTTAATACTTTCTTGCCACCTCATATCTTGTCCTTTTGTCAAATTAATTTCATCTAAGATATCATTAAGTCTGGAGCTAGAGCTTAGAACTTCTTATTCTTAGCCCAGTGCTCCTGCCGTATTAAATTTTAGTACAAATTCATATCTGGATAATGGCAAACAAGGAACATAAGTAGATACTTACTCTTGCCACCTTTGTTGTTATGCAGTCATGTGGTGAAAATCTGGCATTAGAAGGAATAGTTTCCTTTTTTTTTTTTCTTGTATTTGTGACAGGAGGATAGTTCTGACTTAGCTTCCCCATGTCTGAAAATGAGGGGTTGAGGGCCAGGTACTGAGACCAATCTTTGGATTCCTCTAGTTATGGTCACATTTTCCTGAGCAACAAGGATGGACTCCTGGGTTCCAGATACAAGAAAGCTGTATTCAGGGAATACACTGATGGTACATTCAGGATCCCTCGGCCAAGGACTGGACCAGAGGAACACTTGGGAATCTTGGGTAAGGGAATTCCACTTCCCTCCTAGTGTCTAGAAGCCTGAACTGCTTCGAAAGCAGTTATGTCATATCAGAAAGATCCTCCCATTCTCCATTCCAATCTTTTTTAAAAAATAATATACTGAGGGCCAAGCCCGTGGCGCACTCGGGAGAGTGCGGCGCTCAGTGCTCCCGCTGTGGGTTCGGATCCTATATAGGGATGGCCGGTGCACTCACTGGCTGAGCAGGGTGCGGCCAGTCTCAAAAGGACAAAAAAAAAAAAAAATACTGAAATTATGGTCATATTTTATAAAACTGCCATTAAAATAAGCACTGAAGGGGGTGGGGGGATCATCAATTCTGCTACAACCTGAAACAGGTTTTTCCAGATTTTCTGTATCTTTGAGGTGCAGGAGTCTCTGATGGTGGTAGATTTTAACAGATTCTAGGGGCAGGAGAAATTAGGAACATCAAAAAGTGGAAAATAATACAGAGAATCAGTATTAACCCTGATATCCAGTTTAATTATTGCTGTTTTTTGTTTGTTTGTTTGTTTTGTAGCAGCCAATGTGTTTCCTCATTCTTGTCTTGGCATAGAAGGGACCCACTAGTCACTGTAGAGATCCTACCCATTCTGTATTCTGTGTCAAACTCTCACTCCTTACCATCAGTGATTCCACAGAGCCCTCATTCTCTAGAACCTTGGGCTGTTATAGAAAGAGGGTTTGGGTGGGAAAAGTGAGGGTAATTGGAGACATAATCTTGTTGTTGAAGTGCTCTCATCCTGTGGGTAGCAGTATCAATTAAGGGTTTCTGAATCTAAAAATGGAGCCAGTCATGACTTTCAGTCTCAGAAGAAATCTTTCTCAGGGCAGACCCTTAATTGTGTGGAGATCCCATGTATATCCCTTTCTTTAATACCTCCTGTTCCTCTCCTTCACTAATGAGACTTTTACTTGGTTTGTATATATTAGGTCCACTTATCAAAGGAGAGGTTGGAGATATCCTGAACGTGGTGTTCAAGAATAATGCCAGCCGCCCCTACTCTGTGCATGCCCATGGAGTACTAGAATCTAGTACTGGCTGGCCACTGACTGCTGAGCCTGGTGAGTTGGGACACTTAGTGAATGCACAAAGAATATGCAGCATCTCTGCAAATCTTTTGGTTTACTCATTTAAAAAATATATGCTCTTAGAGACCTGAAACAGGAATATTACCCAAGACTAAGCCATGGTATGTGTTTATCTCTGTGAAATGTTCTTCCTCTCAATCCCAGAACAGGCTGTGGCTAAGACTTAGCTAGTATTCCTGTTTCAGATCTCTAACAGAATGCCTTTGGTTATAGGCTGAGCTCCTAATCTTGGCTAGAGAGTGACCTGCCCCAGATCAGGTCTGTGATCTTTAATGCCTGCCATAGATAAAGTTTTTGTTCCCATACTACAGACAAAATTCTAACCCCAGTAACAAACTAAGCTCCTAATACTAAATGTAGAGCAACCACAGTCTTGGCCACATTCTTTTCAATTAATTAATTCATTGAATAAATACTTACTGGAGGCCTACTAAGAAATAGGAACACCTTTAGGAGCTATGGATGCAGTAGTGAATAATACTTGTTCCTACTCTTAAAGAATTTAGGCTACTATGATAGAGACAAGTAAACTGGTGATTATAATTAGTATGTTAAGTGTTAAATAGGAGTTTTTACACCAATAGTGATAGGGAGGTATAGAAGAAGGTACTTAATCTAATGTTTGCGTGGTCATGAATGGATTCCCAGAGTAGGTGAAATTTTAGCTGAGATTTAAATCAATCCGTATTTTCAAACATTAGCATGTATCAGAATCACCAAGAAGGCTTGTTAAATTGCAGATTGCTGGGATAAACCCTTGAAGTATCTGATTCAGTAGGTCTCTAGTGGGGCTCAAGAATTTCTAGTTCAAACAGCTTTCCAGGTGATGCTCATGCTGCTAGTTCAGAAGCTGCACTTTAAAAACCACTGACCTAAAGGATGAAAAAGAGGCATGTAGGTAAAGAGTAGTGTGAAAGAAAATCAAGGTAAAGAAGATTTCAGATGTATGAAATGGAGTGTGTAATGGCCCAGTGGTAAGAAAGGTAAAAGTTGGAATATAGGAATGGGATAGATTCTAAAAAGATCAATGAGGTAAAGTAAACAGGACTTGGTGACTAATTGGATGTTGAAGGTGAGAATGATAAGGATTCCTGAATGACACCCAAGTTTTTGAAGGAAAATTCTTGAATTATACCCAGATTTTTGGCTTAGACAACTAGGTAAAATTCCATTCACCAAGATAGGGAATGTGGAATAAAGCTGACTTGAGATGAGGGAGATTGGATAATGATGTGTTAACTTTTGAATTTATTGAATTTGAGATGTGTATGCTCTAAAGGAATAGATGTGGGAGGCATCAACAATTAGATAGTGCTTGAAAGCATAGTAATGAACACAGTCACCCTGGAACAGTATGTTAAATAAGACAGACTCCTAAGATGAGAACTTGAGGAAGACCAATTTTTAAGAGAGGTACAAATTGAAAAGTGAGCCTGAGAAAAAGTGAGCAAGATAGTGGGAGAAAAACTTAAGAAGATGGTATCACAGATTTTAAGAAGAAGATCATTTTAAGGATGAGGTAGTCAACAGTTTCAGTTGCTTCAGAGAGTTTGTTAAATAAGATAAGAATGAAAAATTTCCCATTGGATATAGCAACAGGGGAGTGGCTGGTGATTTTGATAAATTGATGGGGAAAAAAGCCATACTGGAATGGACAAAAGAGTAATTGGGAGGTGTGGGATTAGAAACAGTGAGTGTAGTTTAATTTGAAGACTTAGGCAAAGCAATTTCAGCTGATGAGAAGGTCAGGGGTATAGCCAAGGGCTAAAATAAAGTGGAAATGAAGGACACTATAGTTCAGGAGATTAAGGGACTGATAGGCTAGAGTGTTGGATGAGTTATCCACATGGACCTTGAAGTAACTCAGAAGAATGGCGGGAATCGGGGTGGAAAGGAAAATGCTGATCCAGGTATCAAAATCATCATTAAGTGACTAAAAGGAGAGAAAGGATGCATTGGAACTAGGGAAACAAGTAAGAAAATTTTGTAGTAATCCATACAAAAGATGATAATAGCTTTAACAAAGGTGGTAGGAAATGAGAATGGAGAGAGTTAGGTGGTTTTGAGAGATGTAAGACAAAATCCTTAGGATACGATGATAGAACAAATGTTGAAGGGGTTAAAGGAGGTAAGGATAAGTGGAGTAAAGGATAATAAACAGGTTTTTGGATTAAGTACCTGGATAGTTGTACCACTCACAGATAATATAAGAAATGCTGGGAGCAGGGGGCTGTTGTTTGTTGGTTTTTTAGAGGGGGGGGTATTAAGTTTATTTATGAACATTTTGAGTGTGACGTACTTGTAAGATGTCCAGGTAGAAATGAGATAGCTATAAGGATAGAAGATTATACTCAATTTAAGATATGGTTCTATAGCTTGGAAGAGACACCTGGGATAAATATAGAGATTTAAGAGTCATCGGCAACTACAATAAATGATAGTTGAAATTGTGATTAGTGTGAGCAGTGACAATAACATTGAGCTGAGAATGAAACTTTTATTTAAGAGAAGGTAATCTACCCTAAATAATTTATAGATTTAAAGCAGTTCTAATCAAAATAACAATTGGATATTTTGTACTAAAATAAAATGCAATCATATATACAGTTCATTTGGAAAAGTAAAGAATACCTGGGGGGGGGGGAACAAGAATTTTTTTAAAAGATTAGTGAAAAGAGACAAGCACAACCCCATACTATAGCATATTCTAAAGGTGCAATAATTAAAGCAACATGGTACTGGAAAAAAATCAGTATGACAAAATAATAATTTCTGAAGCTAACCTAAGCTTCTGCCTTTGTCGATACCAGTGGGAATACTACTACTCCATTACTAGCCCCGTGCTTCTGCCTTCTATCTCCTACCTTACCAGCTCCTTACAAGAAAGATGTTAGTAATCTGGTTAGTCAGAACCCAGGATGTTTGTTGAAAATGTCTTAGTAGTGGGTAGGGATACTATTTCTTTTATTTCAGCACTCCCTATCGCACTGCATACTTGTATGTGATAAATTGACCTGTGCCTGCAATTGGGTGAGCTAGATATGTGAGTTAGAACAAGGCCTGCACTATAGATCTAGCCATCTTAGTTTAATGGAGCTGGAAAGAGGAAGCCTTACTTAGGCTTTTAAGTCAAAGTTTTGTTCCTCAACTCATCTGTTATTAGAGTTCTACAATAGGGGTTAGGGGACACTAGCTCAGCTGTGTTAAAGAAGTAGTACTTTGATTCTCATTAGACTACTGTTCTCTATAGTTCCTTAGTCAGGAACCCCAAGGAGAGGCTTGCCTCTAACACTGAGTGTATATAAAAGGTTAATATTAGAAAAAGCTATCATTTCAGTGGAAGAAAGGAAAAGTTGATCGATATATGGTTTTAAGACAAGTTGTTATCCCTTGGGAAAAACTAAAGTTAGACTTTGGTTTATTACTACATGCTAAAATAAATGAATTAAAGGTAAATAGCTTAAAATGTAAGAACTAAAAGAAAATGTAAGTGAACATTATCTGGACTCAGGGTAGGGATAGGCTTTTCTAAGCTTAAAAGCAAAATATGAGACCCTAAAATGATTTGTAATGCATATAATATTGTTACTACATGAGGGGTTCTTAACATAAAAAAGGTGACCTTTGTAAAAGAAAAAAAATGAGTGAAGTATATAGGCAATAAATTTATGAAGGAAGAAATATAAGTCTCTAACAAAACATAAAAATGTTAGGGGTGACTAATAAACAGTGCAGTGAAAATTGGTGAATAAAATCAATGTAATCTCTGCCCTCCCAAATTTTACAATCTAGAGGAAAAGGCATATAATAAGCAAGAAATCAAGTACATACATATATATTTACAAAGTATGTGTTATAAGGGTAGCAAAAGGGAATAATGGGATAGGGTGAAAGAAGAAGTGAATAGACCTTCTTGAGGCAGTGGTATTTAATTTGTGACCTTAGAGATGAGAAGGAGCTAGGGCGGCAACTATGAGAAGAATATAAGAGAAGGGGTGAACAATTCGAGGAAATGGAACAGCAAGGGTAAAGGCCCTGAAGCAAGAGTGTATTTAGCATAATCAAAAACAGCAAGTCAGATGAGAGGGAAAAAGTTCACGATGGCTGAATAGAATTGTCCCACTCTCACCTGTGATGCGAAGAAAGTCCAAAGCAAGTGGATGGTCAAATGTTGAACGGAGTTCCTGGGAGAAAACACTGGAATTCAGCAAAATGGTGAAGAAGATCCCCTGAGGTTGAAAAACTTGTGAGGGCAGCATAGAAAGACAGGTGAAGTGCCTGATTATGATTGGCTTAGAGCCAGGAGAGACTCCACACTGCAGGAAAAAGGTAGGCAAGGGGAATCCCCAACAGTCCACGTGCACCACAGATACCTGCAATTCAAGCTACAAGGGAGCTGAATGGCCATTGCAGGCTGTAAGCCCAGTGTGAGGAGCTGCTTGGAGCCTTCATGACTACACTAATCCAGATAGGGAGTTAATGCCAAGTCCCCTGCCCCATTCTCCTGGGCCCTAGGCCGCTGCAGGACATTGCCATCTTGGGATTGGAATCAACACAATAGTGCACTTTGCCTTGGGACTCAATAGCTCTGGCATCTCAACAGACTGAATGCTCCCACATCACACTGTGACTCTGGTAACCGAGCCCACACAGCTCCAGTGCAGTGTGAAGGTCACCACCAGCACAGAAACAGCCAGTGCTCGAACATTCTGGATCTTAAGAGCTGACTGATTGGAGCCTTCTGCCACTGCTGACAGCCCTTCTCTTCTTCCAAGGGCACAGAGTCCCAATACATCTCTGGCTCTTTACTTGGCTTGTGGTAGTTGTCATCTCACTGTATGCTCACATGACCTCTGCTTTATGATTGCCTGAGGAAAGGGGTTGAGGGAGAGAGAGAATATACACACAAGCTCAAGTCCAGCACTTTCTGGTGTCTCTTCTTATAGGGACACTAAATCCCATTATGGAAGCTC